ACTCAGAAAAAATTTGCTCAATTAGAACTATATAGATAGACTCAAGCAATATAATAATTAGACATAAGTCAGATACTGTGTTTGCTGTGTAATCCTCTCAATAATCCTTTGAAATAAATATTACTCTCTTTTTACTAATGAGTATGATGAGTGGTGAGAAACAAAATTTCTGCCATCGGAGCTTTTATTGGGCTTCTTTTGCATTTTCTCTGGCCAGTTTCAGCAATCATTATTTCTTTTCTTAAAGAATTGTAAATTCCACTCATTGGATAACTGTTTTAGAAACTTCAGTATGGTACAGGCAGAGTTGATTGATATTTATATGTTCCTTTAAGGGAATTTAAAAAAAAAATTAAATATTTCTTCTATCCATTATGAATGATGATAAAATAACATACAAACCAATTTTATATTAAACATGAATATGGGAAGATTACTGAAAGATTTAGAGAGGTTAAGGATTGAGAACAGGAGCCCTAAATTTACATAAAAACAAATGATTGAAATTTAAAAAATTTTACTCAAGGAAATGCACTAATTATTAATTTTGTAATTTTATTCTTAAATTTTTTACATTAATTTGTATGTCCTTTTTACATTCAAATGCCAATAAAATAAATTCTCACTGACTAGATTTCTTTTCTGAAATTATTTATTAATTTTATCTCATTATTATTACTAAAAACACATCATCATATAAACAAACACTGTGTTAAAAAATGAGATGTTTAAAGAATCTGACCATAACATCTGAGTTCCTTTATTTTGAGTTTTTAGATTCTTGATATTCCTTCATATTTCCAATGGATTTATTTTGGGATTATATATGTATATATAAATATATATATAAATTTATATATAAATAATTTATATATATATAATTTGTATATATATGTGTATATATATATATGAAGCTATGGTACCTTAAAGTTTTCTTTTGATTCATTTTATCCTTTACTAGTGATATTTTTCTTACTCAGAATATCTATACTTATTTTTAATCTTTAAAACATTTTTATAAGTAGAGACATTGGCAACATAGTAGAATAGGAATTTTCACACCACACCCAAGAAGCACAGATATAACAAGGATGTACAGACCAACATTCCTGTCTAAATGGCCTGGCATGTAAATTAACAATTTTAATAGTGATTATGATACAAAAATCCAGCACAAAACTGAGAACACTTCATTGAGTCAGGTAATGCGCTATTTCTCTGAATCCATGTTTGTGGTTTCCGTTTCAGTTTTGATGTCCCCTCAGGGCCCATGCTGAAATCTTGGTCTCCAAAGTCTTATGTTAGTGGTGGAGCCTTTGGAGGAGGTTAGAGTGAATTAGGTCAACAGGGTGGAGATTTCGTGATCCAGCCATGGAGGCCTTAAAGGAAGCAGAGGAATTCGATGCATGTACTCCCTCATGCCATGTACGGCCTCATCCATGTACTCCCTTATGCCATGTTGTGTTCTGTGCCATTTCAGACTCTCCCAGAAGGAAAGCCTTCATAGAGGTTGAAGCTATGTGTCCTGTTCAATCTCTGTGAATCTCTAAAAATATGAGGCAAAATGAGCATCCATCCTTCATAAGTAGCATGCAACAGGTACTTTGCTGAAGTAATGAAGAGCTGACCATGTCAGCCCTTTCCTGTCAGTACAGTTCAGTGGTGAGGAAAGTCATCTTTGTCCTGTGACTTGGTCAGGGTTGGGGGAGTTTTACTGTAGCCAGCATGGTTCAACAAGACTGGAAGACAGCACACAACTCTGAGATGGTTCCTCTGGGAGGGATAGAAAGGAATGAAGCATGCATAAAATATTGTGGTCTTTCTGTGCACTCCACTTAGCTATTTTCTCTTACCATAATGTTTCCCAGTTCCATCATGCAGTTGCAAATGTTAAAATGTCTTTCTACTTGAAAAATAATAGAAAATAATTCATAATTTTTTTCAAAAACCCTCAAGTAGCTGAAACAATCTTGAGCAGGAACAAGGCTAGAAACATCATCCTACCTGACTTCCAAACATACCACAAAGCTCCAGTAACCAAAGCAGGGTGCTACTGGCATAACAACCTATACATAGACTGCTAGATCACAACACAGATTCCAGAAATTAGTTTAGATAAACATTAACAACTGAATTTTTATACAATTACCAAGAATACAAAATGAGAAGGCAATCTTCAATAAATAGTGCTGCAAAAATTGCATATTCACAGGTCAAAAAATGAAATTTGAAATTACACCACACACAAAGTCAACTCAAAATGGATTAAAGACTTGAATGAAGAAGATGAGGCGGTGGCACAGAAGGTTAAGTCATATGGGCACCGGTTCAAGTCTTGGCCACTCTACTTCTGATCCAGCTCCTTGCTAATGCATCTAGGAAAAGCAGTGGAAGACAGTCCAGGTGTCCAAGTGCTTGGGCCCCCATACCCATGTGGGAGACCTGAAGAAGCTCCTGAATCCTGTCTTAGGCCAGGCCTAGACCCGGATGTTGTGGCAATCTAGGGAGTGAAACAGTGGATGGAAGATTCTCATTCTCTCTCTCTCGTTCTCTCCTTTCTCTCTCTCTGTATTTATGCCTTTCAAATAAATAAAATAAATCTTAAAAAGACTTAAATGTAGGAGTCAACGTGTGGTGTAGCAGGATAAGCTGCCACCTTCAATGCTGGCATCCCATATGGGCACCAGTTAGTGTCCTGGCTGCTCCACTTCCAATCCAGCTCCCTGCTAATGGCCTGAGGAAAACAGTGCAATATGGCCCCAGGACTTGGGCCCCTGCTACCCATGTGGGAGACTTAGATGAAGCTCCTGGCTTTGGCCCGGGCCAGCACTGACTATTGCAGCCATTTGGGCAGTGAACCAGTGTATGGAAGATCTCTCTCTCTGTGTGTCTCTACCTTTCTCTCTGAAACTTTTTCAATAAATAAATAAACCTATCAAAAAGTTTTAAATGTAGGATCTGAGACTATGAAAGTGCTAGAAGTAAGCATAGCAGGGTCAGGATACAGTTTCTTAACATTGCTACTGGCAAAGACTTCTTAGATAAATATCAAAAGCATTGGGAACTAAAGCAAAAAATAGACCATTGGAATTACATCACCCCAAAAGCTTCCACACAGCAAAGGAAATCTACAAAATTGAGAAGCAGTTCACAGAATGTGATACCATATTTACAAACCATTTATCTGCTAAATGCTTCATATCCAAAATATAAAAAACATCTACAACTCAAAACTGGAACACAACCTGAATAAAAGGAGGTAAAGGACCTGTGCAGACATTTACCCAAAGAAACACAGAAATGTCCCCCAGATATGTAAAAGTGTTCTCAACGTGATCAGTCAGGAAGATGCAAATCTGCTTGTGATGAGTTTCACCTCATACCTGCTAAAATAGCTGTTACTTAGAAAACAAAAGGTGAGACTGAGCAGAAATTGGAACTCTTGTACACTGTTGATGTGAATATAAAGTAGTTCAGTTACTAAGAGCAGCAGTGTGGGTATTCCTCAAAAAATTAAAAATAGGACTATCATACAATGCAGGAATCTCACTTCTTTGTGTATTTCCAAAAGTATTTAAATAAGAATCTCAAAGCGATAACTGTAGTTTTTTGTTCATTGATTCTTCTGTTCAATATTCAAGACATGGAAACAGCCTAAAATTCCATGGGTGGATGAATGGATTTAAAAAATGTGGTGTTTAGCCATAATGAAAGATTATTCAGAAGAAGAAGTCCTGCCATGTGCATGAGTATGCATAAACTTAGAGATCGTTATGCAAAGCATGAGAAGCCAGCAACAGAACTTCCACTTTGATGAGTCACAGAAGAGATTCCACTTTTATGAGGGATCTATCATAGAAGCAGAGAACTGCATGGTAGTTTCCAGGGCCTGGAGGGAGGATAAATAGGGAGTTGTTGTTCACTGGGTATAAAGTTTTCATTATATCAGATGAATATGTTGTACACCATAGGACTTGCAATTAATAATACTGTAAGTGATTGCATATTCAAAAAATAAGTGGGTAGATCCCATGTTGTGTTCCATAAGTTAAAATTAATCTTTATATCATCATGAATGTTTTTAAAATCAGTATTTATAGTTAAATGTAATTATACTTACATGTATTGCATTTTCACACACCAGCTGTTATGAGGATCCCTTGTAGGAGTGAGGGAGAAAGTTAATCAGCTTCTGAAGCTTTTGTTTGTTGTTTGGCTATCATGCTATGCAGTTTCTTTAACACAGAGCTCTCTAACTTCATTCTCTCTGACATTTACCATACTTTTTTTCTGCTCAACCACTTTCAACACTATTTTGCAACCCTGTTAAAAGGCAGAATTGACTAACATAGTTTTCAACCAGACTAGGGAGGATCTCATTCGGGGAAGGTGTTGTAGTTCTGCTTCCTGGTGTGCTCTAGGTATTGTTTTTCCAGGTTTTGCTGGAGCTCCTTGACTTCCCCCCATGGTTGCCGCTACACCAAGACAGCTATTTGCAGTCATCTGCTCCACTAGGTATCTCTTGCTTCCTGCTCAGCTATATCTTACTGGGGACTTGCCAGATATCCTGAGATTGTTCTCATTAGTGGTGTACTTTTTTCCCATTCTTAATCTTGATATCTATCATTTTAGGTAAAGAGGTTTTTAGGTCAGAAATTTTAGAGCTTCATAAACACTAGGCTGATGTCTTGCTCCAAAAGAAAACTGAACAACTATAAATATTGTTTAAAATGGCAATTGTATTTAAAAATGATGAAAAATTAGTGATATTAATTTTCAGTGTAGAGTTAGGATGAGAAAGAAGATAATTAAATTTAATTAACTTTTTATTTAGGGAGAAAATAATGCCTAAAATTTAAATTTATTCAGTATCATGGAGGTAAGTACCAGATGAGTTGAAAACCAATCTGATGAATGTGATTGCCTGTGGGACCTGGGTATGGTGGTGGGAGCAGAAGATAGAGAATTTTTTTCTATATACTATTCTTTACTATTTGACCATTCACATGTGTTTGATGTGGTCTCTCTCTCTTTCTCTCTCTCTGTGTCTTCCTCTCTCATTTTCTGTCTCTTACTCTTGTCAGTTATTTCAAATGTGTATTAGTAGTACCTCTGTTCCTTCCTGGCTTCTATTTCTGGAACATTTTGGTCCTGAAATTCTAAAAAAGTGTCTGGTTCAAACATAGTTAATTAGAGGATTTTATGGCTCTCATGATACCCTGCTGTACACCATAGGAGCCAAAACCATGGACAAATTATTCTTCTGAATTTAAATGCCAAAATTTAACTTCAAAGACATTATGAATTATTGAAAAGACTTCAAAAAGCTTTTCTTGTGATTTCTAATAATTCAAGGTAGTGCTGAATATTTTCAACTCGGATTATTTGCCATCACATTTGAAACTTTTCTGGGTAAGACATTTATCACAGGCATACACCAAAATCAATGTGCATTATATTTATGGGCATGTTTTAATTGTTTACATTTTGATTTAACTTGCTGATTTCCTTAGTGATATATTTTGAAGTCAGTTATAAGACTTAACTTTTACTAGACACAAAATGATGTTGATCATTTTGAGTTCCTTGTGAGTGAGTCAGTGAGTGGATGAACTAGAACAACTATTTTTAATAAAAAAGAAAACAGGTCTGGGGATTTTTTCATTAGTATTATGAAAATGACATATCTCAAGTTTAAAAAGTTTGATAAGTTTGATAGAATATTCCATACCACTGAATAAGAACTTTAAAAATCTATGATACAATGTTCTATCTATAGTTCTGGGTATAAAATCCATACATGATAAGATATGCTGGGATTTGTAAGACCTGCAGACCAAGACATTTATGTTGTGTTTAGGATAACTGGATAACTTCTAGGTTTTCTATCTTGCTCGATTAGTTTTTAGGCCTGCTTTTATGCCTGTACCATGTTGTTTTGGTTACAATATCTTCAAAACATGTTTTGAAATCAGAGAAGGTGTTGCTTCCATCTTTATTCTTTTTGCTCAAGAATGCTTTGGTTATTCAAAATCTTTTGTGGTCCTATAGAAATGTTAGCATTGTCTTTTCTATTTATAACAAGTTGTCACTGTAATTTTTTTTAAAAAAATATGTATTTATTTGAAAGAGACACAGAAAGAGATAAAGTGAGGGAGAGACTGGCAAACAGAAAAATAGAGAGATCATCCATCCTCTGGTTTACTCCCCAAATGCCTGCATTAGCCAGGGCTAATTCAGGCAAATGCTAGGAGCCTAAAACTCAATCTGGATTTCCCATGTAGGTGCCAGGAATCCAACCGTTTCTGCCATCACCTGCTGCTTCCCAGAGTGTACGTTAGTAGTAACCTGGAATAGGAGTTGAGGTGGGACTTGCACCCAGCACTTTGATATAGGATGTGAATGTTCCAATCAGCATCATAACCACTGTACCCAACACTTTCCTCAACACTGACATTTTGATGGGATTGTATTGAATCTGTAGATCACTTTGGGCAACATGGAAATTTTAATATCAGTTCTTCCAATTCATCAATACAGAGTAACTCCTTTTTTATGCCATCTTCAATATTTTTCATCAATGCTTTATTGTTTACAATATACAGATATTTACTTCCTTGATTAAATATACTTCTACTTTTAAGTTATTGTGAAAGACGTTGTTTCTTAATTTCTTTTTCAGGTAGTTTGTTCAAATTTATAAAAGCAAAGCTAATTTTTATATGTCAATGTTGTGTCTGGAAACTGCTGAATTCATTTATAAGTTCTAATAGTTTTTCAGTGGCACAATTAAAATTACATCATCAACAAAAAGACATAATTTCAGAACAGCAGAATTTTCTCATAAAAACAGCAATGTCAGCCAATGGAACATAACAGGAAGCCCAGAAATAAACCCATGCACTTATAATCAAATGATTTTCAACAAAGGTTACAAGAATATGCAATGGGGAAAGGAAAACCTCTTCAATAAAGATTGCTGGAAAAACTAGTTATCTTCATGGAAATGATTGAAAATGTATGCTTATTTTACTCCATATGCAAAAATCAATTCAAAATTCATTGGACAATCAGGCATAAGACCAAAAACTGCAAAAATAGTAAAAGAAAACATAATAGAAAATCTCCACAATATTAAATTTCTGCTAATATGCTACCATCCCACATTGAAGTACCTGGGTTCAATTCCTGGCTCCAGCTCCTTCCTCCAGCTTCCCGCTAATGCAGACTCTGGGCAACAGGAATGGTAGCTGAAATTATTGAATTCCTGCCAGCAAATTGGAGACCTGAATTGAATTCCTGGCTCTTGGTTCTGTCCCTGGCCTGGCTCCAGCAGTTGCAATATTTTTAATGAACCAATAATTTGGGGAGTTGTCTCTCCCTCTGCTATTTCTGTCCTCTCTTTCTGTCTCCCTTTCCCTCACTCTCTGCCTCTCAAAAAATAAGAGTTTCACAGAAAATCGAATAGCTGAAGGGACTTTTCTCTTTGTTATCATTAGAGAAATGATACAAAGCTGACTACCAGGATAAATGAGGTTACACTTTAGTCACAGGTTGGTTGTGGTAATCAAGTTAGGAATTCTCTTCTTGCAAGTAGGCAAGAACAATGTTGTTTGCTACATTTCCAGTCATTTAAACATTTTATTAACAAATACATTTTCAGCAAATATTTTTCATTAAGACATATCATCAATTAAGTTTTTGGCATTGTCTATCCCTGTTTTTATTGTCACTATTGTCAACTTCAATTTAATCTCAGGAGAGCATGCAACTGACATGTCTTCATTCACTCTCCAATATTCCTCAGAGTTACCCATGCACAATGAATCATAGACTGTTATGCAAGCTCTATGTCTTGAATTCTACTGTAACACTTCAGTTCTCTAGAGGACAATTGTGCATCCGCTTTCTGCAGTGGATGGTTCTTGCACTACGCTTTCCCCTGTATTTTCAGGATTCTTTTATTTGTTCTGTGTTTTTAAATATAAGAACTTAACAATATTCTCTAGAGATTTGGTGTTTTCTAAAGGCCAATAAATAGGTGACTTTGGTTGTTTTTAGAATTGCAATTCTGTGATTGAGTTTATTTTATTTTTATTTTTTTGGTTAAGTAAATCAAGATTTATTAGTTCTAACAGGGAATGAGTGGTTGACTTTTCTATATTCAGCTTTCAGTTAACTTCCAGGTATGCAAAAGGTCATCCGTAAATTTTTTGGAATAAATGGACGCACAGAGTTGTAAATGACATTTTTCAGACACAAAAACTCTACTTTGTCTTCTAGTACATGCTAAAATTTTTACATTTTATTTAGCAGAAATGGGAGAAAATCTTAGATACATTTTTTTTTCTTTCAAACTTTTATTTAATGAATATAAATTTCCAAAGTACAGCTTATGGATTACAATGGCTCCCCCCCCATAACGTCCCTCCCACCCGCAACCCTCCCCTTTCCCACTCCCTCTCCCCTTCCATTCACATCAAGATTCATTTTCGTTTCTCTTTATATACAGAAGATCAGTTTAGCATACATTAAGTAAAGATTTCAACAGTTTGCTCCCACACAGAAACATAAAGTGAAAAATACTGCTTGAGTACTAGTTATAGCATTAAATCTCAATGTACAGCACACTAAGGACAAAGATCCTACATGAGAAGTAAGTGCACAGTGACTCCTGTTGTTGACTTAAGAAATTGACACTCTTGTTTATGGCCTCGGTAACTGTGATTGAGTTTAAATACTTAATGTGCAGTCAGAAGACATTGATAAAGATGGTTCCCTTCACAAAATACTTTACAATTATTTACTTATTTATATTTAGAGGAAAGAGCAAGGAGGGTAGAGAGAGAGTGAGAGAGGGTGAGAGAGAGGGATTGATTTTATCTGTTGATTAACTCCCCAAATATTCATAGCATCTGGAACTGGGCCAGACCAAAGCCAGGAGCCAGGAACTCCATCCAGGCCTCACATGTGGGCTGCCAGGACCCAAGGACTAGAGCCATCACCCGCTGCCTTCCCAAGAGGTGCATTAGCAGGAAGCTAGAGCAGAACTGGAAGGAGGACATGAACCCCAGCACTCTGGTACAGGATGTGAGTTTCCTAAGTGGTGGCTTAAGCACTCCACCACAACAACCACCTCTCTTTCCCTCTCCAATATTTTATTCCTAGCGCTTGTCTCATTTACATATTCTTACATCATCTGCATAAGCTCATCCTCATCACACTGATAAAGGCCATTATCATAATCTTACTTAGACCCTGACCTTGCCTTCCTTTAGTAAATTTTGTCTCATTGAGCACATTTTTCATACAGCACAATGTGATCTGTCTCTTCCTAACTTCCACTTCATGTCAACTTCGTTTATTCTATCTTTAATATTTGTTTCAGCTTTTTCAATTGGCCATGCACTATTTCCTTGCTTGGAACTTGTTTTTCCTCCCCTTCCCACAGTTCGCAGTTCCACCCACCCCTTCCACAGTTCTCCCTAACTAGCCAAACACTCATATGTACCTCAGGTAAAAAGTCATTTTTCAGAACTCTACAGTTTACTAGCATGAATAATATATGTGTACACAGTATATAGCTCACAACTTCTTAGTAAAATATTTTAACAATTTGAATTATTTGAATAATTATTCAAACTGATTTCAATTAAAACTTGGGCAAGTCATTTTGTATAATTTATCCATAATCATGCAATAAATTGATCATTCAAAGGTGTAGATTAAGTGTATGCTAGTGTGAACTCCTCAAGAAAAAGGTTATCATATTCATCTTAAAATCCATAGATTCTAGACGGTATATGGCATGTCATAAAATAAGGTATATTTGTTCAATAAAAAGTGTATTTTAATAAATCTACTGCTAAAATCTAAGCATTGAAATGAAAATATCTCTAATACGGCAGCTGTAATTTTTTGAACCATAATTAAAACTAACCTTATATAATAATATTTTTGAAAGGTGTGTATACTTTTATATATCTCTAATTATAACATGGTTATTAAAATATATTAGCAATGACTTATCTCTCACCAATCTATTTTTTATAAAAGACATGTAAATCCAGTAAAACCTGACTTATTTAGCATTTATTAACTAGATCTTTATGTAGTTGTTCATCTACTCATCTGTGACAAAATGATGGTTAGTATTTATAATGTTATTCAAGATAGTACAGAATTCTGGAGTAAGGTTTAGTAATGAAAGGCATGTTTATATTGTACTGTTGGAGTTCTGCTGGCAATAATAACAATCATAGGTACTATGCTGGATACAGATGTCAGATACATACATCATGTCATATCAGCCTTATTCAGAACCCTAAGATACAAACATTAGTATCCCCTTTTTACAAACTAAGACACCTCAATGTCACAAAGCCGGAATGTGACAGAATCAGGAGTTAAAC